TCGGTCGAGTTCGAAGATGAGAAGGATCCGTCAAGAAATGGCTGAGTTATCGAAAAAATTGTCATTATTGACCAGACCATCCCTGAGGGGGGGTACAGGGATTTTTTCAAAAAAAAACAAAAAATCTCAGAATTATTCACAACATATACAAATCGACTCAGTTTTTAACGCTGATTCCGAATCTGATATTGGTTTTGAACCAAATCGTAGCTTTCTAACAAAACATCGCCTGAAAAAGGTCTCAAAACGCACAAAAACTGCATCGAAAAAGCAAATTGCCTAGATATCTTTCAGATGATAAAAAACAAAGTGAATATACCTGTTCACTTTTTGAAGTACACATAACACTCGGATTTAAATTCGAGGTTTTTTTGCATTTTATTTTATATTACTTTTAGAAGACATGTATATAGTTTATATCTGTTATTTTTATTCTATTTTTTATGTCATTTATTTTTATTCATAATTTTATGTTTGAAGAAGTTGTTTTCTATAATGAAACATCAGATTTTTTTAATTTTATTCAATAAATTGAAATAAAGAAAAAGAATTATTCTAACTAGAGATGTGCGAGATCAACATTTTTTTTTATAGTCTCGATAACTTTTTTCTCGGTTCCGATTTATTTTTTGGTAATAGTTTTCCGCACATCTCTAATCCTAACATACCGAATTATACTAATACGTTAGAATGCACTTATAGAAGAATAGACAACAATTATTGAATGACAATAGAAAAAATAAGTAGAATATATGTTTTCTAGATATAAACCTTTTGAGTTCAAATGGTGTATTGAGTATGAAAAGTAATACTAACTTTGAATTCTTAGAGTAGATGATTTTTAAATAATTGAAATTACTATTCCTAATTCAATTGATAATAGTGATCAAAATGTTCGTTAATAAAACTGCTAAATTTAATTAATTTGTTGCTTAATTTTAATTATTTATTTCTTTTTATTCTTAACACTAAAGATAATATTTTAATAAAAACTTTAAAATGATTTAGATTTGACTAAATTATCGAATTTAGACTTAAAACTTTACGTATATAGACAAGTCAATTGTACTAAATTCTAAATTTTGAACAACGTTTCTTCAAGATATAATACTTTCAAAAAAAATGCATGTTGTTATACACTATCCATAGAAAACAATCTTTATCCTGAAAGTTTTATTATTCAAAGCTTAGAAATTAGTTTTCTTAAGTTTTCTATATGCAAAAATATGAGATTGTCAAGAACATCGACTCTCTATAGACAAAAGATTTATTAACTTAGTCAAACTCAAATTGTTTTAGAATTTTTTTATTGAAACATCATATAGTATACATAGAGTACAAAAGAAAACAATTGAAGAGATTCTCTCATCAATTTTACTTTTCAATATATTATAAAGAGCATTATCGAAAGCTGATTACTAAAAGAAATTCTATCTATAAATAAATTGAATACAATATTTATATTTACTTTTCTATAGGATAGATTAATCTCTCTTAAAACAATGACATACATATTTTATAACTTTATAAAAGATTAGAATGTTATTAACTTACATATAGAATTTATATTTCATCAATATTGTTATTTGACGCTAGTTTGAATCTGTTTTAGTATTCATTTGTTATGAAATATCTTTTCTTTTTTGCTCTCATACAATTATGTTATTTATTATGACACACATATTTTAATTACATTGATTTTCTATGTAATTTAGGTGTTATTGAATTAAAATCTTTTATACTGTTTTGACAATAAAAATATTCTAATTGTAAAGGTTATCTAAGTTGAACTTTTAGATTTATTTCCATTGTTGAATTGTCTCAACAAATAATTTATAAAAGTAAGCATACTAAGTAAATAAATTTTTACTATTTAACAAAATCATGACTCTAACAAAT